GCCCGCTTGGGCCGTCGTGGCCTCGAGGGGGTCCTGCCCAGGAACGGGCCCAGGAGAAACCTAACCTGTCCGCTACCCTGTTGATGGTGGTGCCCCCGATCGCCTCAGCCAGGGCCAGGGGCCCTGTCCTGAACACCCTGGATGCAGCCGACCCCGTTCCCAGACGCGTGAGCTTGCTGGCCATCTTCATGGCGTCGGAGGTTCTTTGGAGCATCGTGGGGGGCCTGCGATTCTTCCCGTTGCCAGAGTCCCCTCCCAGATCCCGATCGTTGACATGATGCCATCTTGCAGCAGCTCCTTCAGGGCCTCGGGGTTGAAGGTCATGAGCCTGGTCTTGCGCCAGTTGATGGGGAGCCGGACCTTGGCCATGCGCCTGGCCACCTTGACCTGGGCCTTGACGGAGTGCCTGACCGCCGTAGATGGTCCTCCGGCGACATGCGACGTGAGGTTATCTATGAGGTTGATGCAGCGGCACGGAGGAATCAAAATGGCAATATCCCTGATCACAGCTGTCATCAACAGTTTGGAATTTCCCGTCGCACAACTGCACCCTGCCACAATGGTCCCGTTGGCCTCCGCGGGGCCGCAGATGGGGGCCCCACCTCGCATGTCGTGGGCATCTACATAGGAGGCAGGGCGCTCGCAGCAAGCCTGAGTCGAACGGGTAGTGTGCCGCCGAACTAAACAACTGTTCGTGTGCAGTATTCTCGTAGAACTTGGCAACATCGTGAACGTGGTGACCGATTTGAGTCCCTTGGCCCGCGCGTAGCTAGCACGATGTGCTGTCGTGGCTGAGTCTTTGCCCCAGAAGCAAGATGTATTGATTGGGTTTTCCCATTTGCGAACCACCCGCTGGCGGATCCTGCTCCAGATGCGTGCCAGCGTGCACATCAGGCCGATCGGGCGAGTACCGCCCGCCAATTTTGGCCAGAGCACGTTAATGATGGATAGCAGCGGCGAGACTGACGCACTGGACTCCCAGCCGTTCAAGATATCCACTGCCCTCTGAATGATCTTCTTCGGCATCTTTTCGAAGTGCGGAGGACGGAACGGGTCCCACCCCAGCGTTGTCTTGCTCGGGAAAGACGGGAGACTCCCCCAGGGAATCCTCCACTGTGATCGGCGGGAGGGCCCACTCTGCTTCCCATGTCATGGGAGGTGCTCGTCGGAGGCGGGTGTTCCTCGACGCCACGGTGCGCTACGGCGTGCCGGGCTGGAGGGTCTGCGGGCCGCCGCCGCACGGGACGGCGCCGTCGCCCGGGGCGCAGAGGCGGACAAGCACCAGCGGTACCCCGCCCAGGCGCGCGCCCTGGCGGATGGTGCCGCTGGCCCTGGAGACGGGCGGCCGTCACGGCCCGGCTGCCCGGCGCCACCTGCGGCGCCTCGCGCGCGACTGGGCGCAGCTTCTGGCCGGGGACGACGCCGCCGCGGCCGCGGCCTCGGCTGGGGCCCTCGCGCGGCGCTGGGGCGCGGAGCTGGCGGTCGCCCGGCAGGCGGCCACGCCGCACCAGCTGAAGGCCGCGCTGGGCACGGAAGCTGCCCAGCAGGGCGCCCGCGTGGCCCTGGCCGCCAGCCTGGCCGGCTGAGCGGCTTCTGGCACGTCGTGGCGCTCTACACCTTCGCCGCGGAGCTCGTCCTGAGCGCGCGTGGGCAGACTGGCGCGCCGCCTGCAGGAGGAGGGGGCGGTGGCGGAGGAAGGGCAGGAAACGAGTTGGAGGAGGAGGAGGAGGATGAGGAGGAGGAGGAAAAGGAAAGGAAAAGGAGGAGGAGGAAGCTGGTCTTTTGGCAATCCGTCCCTCGACACTGTTGCACTGATCGTTTCTGTGGACCGCCCAGCCGCCCGCGACTGATGACGAGTATCGGCCGCATATTCGCCCGCCAAATTGCGACACGACGGAGGCGGGGGAAACGACAACGTTGGCGTATGTGCGTGGGGGGCCTCTTGGGGGTCTCTTGGGAGCCTCGTGGGGGCATCCTGGGGGCCTCTTGGGGCACCCTTGGGAGGCTTGGGAGCGCTCGTGGGGCCATTTCGGAGGAGATCGATCAAAGACGGGGGGGTCCTTAATTAGCGTTGCCCCCCGAAGAGGCCAACATGGGGCCCAAACCGCAGTAAAACAATTGTTTTTGGCTTCTTCGCCGAGGCCGTTTTGGACATTCCGACCGCTCGCAGAACGCCCCGTCCAGGTCCAGGGGAGGGGGTACGGGGAGGGGTCAAGACTCCCTCCCCGCGCCGCAAGCCGTCTCGCTCACTCCCACCCGCCCTCCCAACACATACGTAGCACCCGAGCCTGGCCCAAGCCGCAGCATATTCAGCAGTCGTTTATTAATGGGCAGTTACTAGGGGCAAATCCACCGCCGCCGCCGCCGCCGCCGCCTCCGCCGCCGCCGCCGCGCCCGCCGCCGCCGCCGCCGCGCCGCCGCCGCCGCCGCCGCCGCCGCGCCGCCCGTCGCCGCCGTCCGCCGCCGCCGCCGCCGCCGCCGCGCCGCGCGCCGCGCGCCGCCGCCGCCGGCGTCGCCCCCGCTGCCGAATCGCCGCCGTTGCAGCCGCTGCTGCCGCCACGGCAGCCGCCGCCGCCGCCACCGCCGCCGCCGCCGCCGCCGCCGCCCCCGCCGCCGCCGCCGCGACCGCCGCCACCGCCGCAGCCGCCGCAGCCGTTGCCCACGCCGCAGCCGCCGCAGCCGCCGCCGCCGCCGCCAAGTGTACTCTGTATTGTTTTTTGACAGGGGGGGTGGGGGGAGGCCGCGTTAGGTTCGCTGCGCATGCGCCGAATTTGGAGGCAGAGTGTGCTTTGTATTGTTTTTAAACAGGAATGGTGTGGGGGGCCCTCATTGTCCCTGGTGGCTCCGAGTCGCCAGGTTGAGGGGGTGTATAATAATAGGGACGGTGATAAACCCTTCCCCGAAGGGGAAGAATGGGGTGGAAAAAGAAACACCCTAAACCACCTACGCCCTAAAAGGGCTGGTGGGATTCGTTTCGCCATTCCCTCCTCCTCACGGTCACTATGATTTACCCGTGGCACCAATGTCTTCCAGGCCTTCATTCTTTTTTCTGCGTCCATCAAGTGGGTCGCCGCTAACTGGAGTACCAAACGTGTTTTGGGAAACGCTTGGTTTATTGTACGTTTTGTGTGTTCGAGCCGTTTCGGGCTTGTTCTTGTCATGGGCTCGGGCGCATTGATATATACCCGGCCAGTGACATGCCACTACTTCATAGCGCGGCTGTCAATCTGGGACTGCTTGCCCGCCACCGAACCAGATGCGGAGAGAATATGGGTGCGCATTGTTTTCAAATTATGGTTGACGAGGTCCGCCTTGGCATGGGTCATTCAGTCCTGCCCTTTAAGAGCGCTGAGTGTTCGGGCAGAATGTGCCTCGTGTGTGATACGCCCCTGAGAACCACAACGTGTAGGCCCAAGCGTGTCAAGGCATGTCTGTTAATTTCGCATTTCAGGGGGCCCTTTTTTTAGTGTGCATTGGCGTCCCAACACGGTTTGCTTGGCCACCATCACGCCCGATTGCCAAATTTCCGGCGTCGTCCAAACCATTGTGGCTCAAGAAACATCGGTTTTGAAACTGTTCTATTTAGATCGCTGATTTACATTCCTGACGCTTTGTGTCTCCTAACCAGCCCATCCAGCAGCGATGCCCAAGCGAGTTGCCTTGGCCAGGGACATGTCTTCGGAGTAATCAGCGATACAAAGAGGGGAGGCAGCCGTCAAGCCCTAGCTCAACATCCGCCTTGTCAGACCCAGGAGTCAGCCATACATGCCGTTTCTGAATTTTCGATACGGACGCCTATTGGCAGCTTATCTGGGCGCTCCTGGGACCCTCCTGGGGCAATCTGGGAAGTCGCTGGGGCTCTCGGGACCCTCTTGGGGCTCTCTTGGGGCTCTCTTCGGGCCCTCTTGGGGGCTGTGTGGGCTCTCTTGGGGCCATCTTGGGATTTATCGATCAAACAGGGGGAGGGTTTCTGATTACGCCCTCTCGTCAGAGACTGGCACATCGCCTCTTGGGGCTCTCTTCGGAGCTGTTGAAGCCGTCGTGGAGCCGTCTCGGACCCATCTTGGGACCCTTCTTGGCCGTCTTGGAGTTACCTCGAACTCTCGAAGCCAGTCGCGAAAAGGCGACGTCCTTGGGAGGCTCCGTTGCCACGTGGACCGGTCTTTGGACGATATTGGGGCCTCGTGAAGGCATGCTGGAGGCTAACTAGATAGCCATGTTGGACCAGCTTGCGCCATACTGGAGGCCATCAAGAGTCATCTGAAGCTATCTTGGAGCAATCTTTGCTCAAACGCCTCCCAAGGATGCCTTCGAGATTCCAACATCTGTCAGCCCCCCGTCGGAGCCAGAATCATCGCCTCTTGGGGCGCTCTCGAAGCGCTCTTTGGGCACTCTTGGAGCGCTCTTGGGGCGCTCTTGGGCGCTCTTGGGTTCTCCTGGGCGATCCAGTGCCACCGGGAGGCTTCAAAAGCCCGTGGGGAGCGAAAAGGCGAACAGGTGTTTGAAGGATTTTGGCACCTCTGGGGCGTGCTCGGGAGGCTCCTTGGCCACTTGGAGCCGTCTCGGGGTGGTACAGGAGCTTTTTGAAGGCATGTTGGAGTCTATTTTGAGTCATCCCGGGTTAACTTGTTCGATGTTGGAGGTCATTTCGTGTTGCTGGGTGCAATTCTGTGAGCCATCTTGGGCCATCTTGGACGCGCTGATCACTCGCGGCTACCCCCACAAGACCTTCGCCCTAAAGGGTTGATGCTATTCATTCCCAGTGTCATATGGGCGCCGCTTCTTTCTGCGCGTGTGTTCAAAAGTGCAGACGACGTCTCGAAGGCGGCATCTACACCTCGTCAGGGCGAGACGCAACGGGGAGCGTAACACAATGGCGTGGAGCGTGATGGGTGGGTTGCTACGAGATCGGGCATGATGCAGGGACATCTCGTCGGCCCTCTCCCCAGTTACCGTCCCTCCTCGCTCCGCTTTCGCGTCCCTCCGCCCCTCCACCGCAGGGGTGCCGATGCGCTCGGCGCCCTCATCGCGGACGCCGCTATCGAGGCCAGCGAGACAGGAGGTTTGGAGTGCGCAGAGAGGGTGGCGACGGCCATGAGAAGGAATCCTGTAGGAGCTGTTTGCATGTGTGTGTCTGTGTGTTTTCTGTGGGGGGCGCCGAGGTTGTGCAGCGCACTGGCCCGTGGCGTCAGGGGCCGTGGCGATGTGCGATGCTGGAGCGGCCGCGCCGAGGCCGGGCCAGAGGCCGCAGAGCTCGACGGTGGTGGCGTCGAGGACGCGGCCGAGCCAGCAAGCTTCGTCCCCCTCTGCTGGATGCGGTCAAGAGGGGGGGGCAGCGGGACCAGAGGATGCCCAAGATGCATCAGCGTTGTGGAGGACGATCAATGGAGAGGAAGCATGCTGCCAAATAGTTTTCAGATGTCTAAAACGTGTAAACACATGTTTTAGACATGCAACAGCATGTTTAAACCATGTTTACATTTTCCGACATTTTAAGCATTTTGTATTTCAATGGTGGGACTGTTAGGGTGTCCATTGTCGTGGTATCCACAACATCAGCGATGCTGCAAGACACCCTCCTCTCCCAGGTCCACTCCTTCAACAGTCACCACGAGAATGCGTCTCTAC